CAGGGAAGGGAAGGGAAGGGAAGGGAAGGGAAGGGAAGGGAAGGGAAGGGAAGGGAAGGGAAGGGAAGGGAAGGGAAGGGAAGGGAAGGGAAGGGAAGGGAAGGGAAGGGAAGGGAAGGGTGCTCCAAAGAACCTGAATAGGACCAGAGAGTCAGCAGCCAACCACCAGGAGGGCTGAAATAGAGGTTACAGGGAGAGCATGTCACTGAAGCTGTTCTCAGCAGGGCCTGAGAATGGTGGCCTGAAATAGGAATCATCACACTGGTCAATTGGAAATGGCAGCTGATGGTCACCATGTCAAGCCCCTTCTGTGACCCCTGTGAGATCCCAGTGCTGGAACACACAGCCCCCCATGAGAACCAGGCACCAAATAAGACGCTGTACCTCCATTCTCCAGTTCCTCCAATGCTCAGCTTCAGGAGAACCATCTTGCTCCCTCCTAACCCTCAGCTCACCCAAACCTTACGTCCTTCCTCCCATGTCTCAAAGGTGCCCCAGAGCTGCTGGCTCACGAGCATCCATGATTTGACTTGATGACCTGAGAGGTCTTTACCAACATTAGTGATTGTACAAAGCCCAGGTGAGCAGTGCACTGGGAAGAAACATCATGCTTAATTTCTTCTGCTGCCCTCATTTGTGAGGAGAAGGGGCACTGTCCTAAAGGAACATTTCACACTGCAGCTGCTGAGACACCTGCTCTCAGAGCAGCAGAGCCACTCCTCAGGCTGCGTGAAGCCCAGTCTGTGCATGTCCATGCATTGCACTGTCAGCAAATTGGGGATTAAAACCTCGGGAAAAGGGCTTTCTCAGCCCAGCAAGCAAAAAGTAGGACAAGCATCCCTACGATGGCCTCACTGAACCCAAATCCAGCTGCTGTGGTATTGTGGGTAGGTGACAAATCCCAATGTCTTTCTCACCCTGAATGTCCCACAGCTTTGTTTACCTGTTAAAGGATTCAGTTCCAGTGGCAGAGATGGGAAGATCTCTCAGCAATACCTCAGAGCACTTTTCACTCACAGAGCCATGCTGCCCAGAGCAGCATATTTAGGAGGTAAAAGCTGGCGAGCCTTGCCCTGAATTCAGCACAACACTATTTATCTAAGCAGAGAGCAATAATAACACAGCAGAGATTTCATTTCCTTTCAACACATAAGAACTCTGCTGAGCGAAGGTGAGATTAAATAATACAATAGACAGAAAGCGAGCAAGGCAAAGGAAGGTTTTAAAGTCTTTCTCCTTTGGCAGGAGTTACAGGAGCCTTCACAGCTAAAGCTCCCTAGATATCCTGAGCCTCTTATTGAAGACAGCCCTGTTGCACACTCACCTCCAGCAAGACCTACGCCTGATGAAGTTAGCAGAATGTAATACAGACTGCCTTGGGCTTTGCCACTCTAAACATTCACCCAGCTTCTTCACCATGCTACAAAACTGAATTTTTTTCCTTTCAAACGCATGGGAAGAGGCACTGCTTAGTTCTGAAGGACAATGAGCAGCGTAAAGGAATCCAAATTCTTGATGTGTTGGCGGGGGCCTTGGCTCAACAAAGGGCTTGATATGTGCTGAAGCCAGGATATATCCAGGAATAAAACATAGGTGAGATTGAAGCACGTTCTCAAGCAGATCCACTCGGGCTCCATCAGGCAGCATGGGCAGCACAGCCCACCCAGAGCTGACGAACCACAAAGCAAGCGATATACGTGTAGGAAGGGAAGGAATGCTCCAGTGAGGAGCACAGAAGGAGGAGTGACATTTTGGCACTTTATTGCAGTCAGAAAGCTGGGTTTTGGCTGTGCCTCACGGCTTTATTTCCAGCCAACACAACAGAAGATGCCGTGCCTCCTGTGCAAGAGCCCATCGATGCCATTGGAAGCCACAATGCTCCTTATCGCCGAAGACGTCTTGAGATCTGAACAGGAGCCAAGAGCTGCAATGAAATGTAAGACTTAATTATGTCTGACAAAAGCAAATCAATTAAAGGCTGCTTCACATCTGTGTCGTTTTGATCAAGGCTTCTGTTTTCCCATCTCTCCTCCGCTCCCTTGAAGAAATCTGAATATTTATCGCCAAGAATTAGGTCAAAGCCTAGGAGTGAATAAATGTTTCTCTGTGCAGGAGACAAGGAAAATCTCTGATTGCTAAACATGAAGCAAAATCTGCATTAGCTCTCAGGACTGCCAGGTAAAGCCTCCACCCATAAAGGAAGGAACTCACCTGTGCAGTGCTGTGCCTGTGCAGCCTGAGCTCTGCAGAAGCAGTGGGACTGAGCACCAAATGCCCAGGATAAAGGTGGTTTATTTCTCCAACATCCATTAGATTTGCTTTTAAACCTGCAGTTTATGCCCTTTCAGGGGAGATCCGGGACTCTGCAATAGCAATTCCATGGGTAGTTATTCACAAGGCATGACTACAAGACCTGAAAAGAAAAAGACTTACATGGAATGCACAGCAATGGCAAAACTCGTGTGTTTGGTGCAAGAACCCAGCCAGCACACCGCCCTAACCAAGCGCAAGTTGTTGCAGGAACTACATGAGATCAGCAGCATGCTGAGCCTGGCAAGATGTTCCCACTGCATCCCCTGCTGTGTGCCTTGCAGGTGAGCTCACAGCAGAGGCTGCTCACTGGCCAAAAGCCATGGGAAAAAAACCATCCCTTCCTCTGCCAGCCCCATAGGAAGGCTGGGCTCTCCCCCAGGCACTGTGATCTGGCCATCATCTTCATGCTCAGCCCCATCCTTGCTCCCTGTGGGCCATTCCTCAGGGAAACTTCAGTTGGAGACTCACAGAAATGATCATCCTGGTGGAATAATTATATCTGTATTGAGCTAATTCCTCTCCTCAGAGCCTGCCAAATATTAAGCAAAAGCAATGCAGCGTGCTTTGTCACCCAAGTGCATCGGACAAGGCTGACACTAAGTGAAAACCAGTGCTGACAGCATCGCTCTGTGTTCAACATGAATATATATAAATATAATACTTGGGGGAGAGGCTCGGGCTGGATGTTAGGAACGTGCTCTGCCCCCAGATGCTCAGGGAGCATTGGGACAGTGCTCTCAGCCATAAGGTTTGGGTGGTGCTTGGTGGGGCCAGGGGGTGGACTCCATGATCCTTGTGGGTCCTTTCCAACTCAGGATATGCTATCATGCTATAGCACTGAAATCTTTCAAGGGAAAAAAAAACAATTTTCCCCCCTCCTCTGTTCATCTCTCTATTACGAGATTTTCCATCCCTGGTAATTTACAGCTTTCTCCATCCCAGTGGGATTGAAAATTAGCTCTGTCACCCTGTCTATCCAAAAGCACTGTACAACTGGCAGCAACACTGATTGCCCAATTTTCTTCAATAGTTAACTCTTCTACCATGAGGAGCAGGATGATCTGTGGCCATGCTGCCAGTGTATCTTCTGATTTTATACATTTCTCTGTCCTTGCCATGCACTGTCACGAGCAAAGGAGAAAAAGTACACTGCCCAAAGTGGCAGTGCAAGAAATGCTCTGCAGCCCTGCAACGCCACTGGGGTGCGAAACATGGGGTGACAAGGGTTCAGTTGGAACATTTGTGCTGAGGGTTCAGAAGAGGAACAAAAACCGAGCAAGGCATCAGCATGGAGTGGCTAGAGGAGGATTATTGACTGCTAGCCCATGAACGCCAGGCAGTGAACAGGAAGGAGTAGCTGGAAGTTACGGGCAGGCAGATACTGGATGCCAACAGCAGGCTGGGACAGCCTGGTTCCCAAACGTGCATGTTTCCCAGGGCTTCCTGCCAGTAGCACTGCTGGGTCTGCACCAGGCCCTTGCAGAGATGAGCAACACCAGCACCTAAACCTAACTTTGCCCCCTTTCCCAAGAACAGCCCATGCTGTAAGCAGACCCCTGAACCCCCGTGGACTGGTTTACACATCCTTATACACAGGAAAGCAGCGATGGAAATGACAGATTTTGTTCTTAAACAGGAGCAGCTAATGAAATGTCTTGCAGAGATGGGCTGCAGAGGTTGGGTGGAGAGATCCCAAGATGAGATGGAGTCATTTTGCTCTGTGATAAGATATCTAGAAAAGAAAAGAACCACGGGTACCAATGTATTGCTATTTCAGGCTCCTTCCTGCTCCCAAAGCCATCAGACACCTCTCTAAGCCAGAAACATTGCACACACAAGGCTATTACCAGCCTGCATACAGTAAGACCATTTTAGCTAATGAATCCCCTTCAGAATCTGAATTAGCATCTCTTCTGATTCCTGATGGCTCACAAAGAGCCCACCAGTGACCCCAGGAGCTTTGGGGAGCTGCTCCAGGGACACAACCCAGCCTTAGGAAACTGCTCTGCCTCTTCTCTCAAGGCCTTTCGTTACACCCAGGAGGCAAGCAGCAATATTTATGGCATTACCCAATAATTAAACTCATTGTGATTTATCCTCTTCCACAATGCTGAAGATCTTTATGGATTGATGAGTTGGCTGGATGCAGCAGATCTGTGGCCCTCCAGCACTTTGAGGTGGACCAAGGACCTCCTCTGCCCCCCTCCCACAGAAACTCATGTCTCCTGCAGAAACCTTTTAATTTCTTCTTCCTGCTGCTCTCATCTAATTGTCCCACTCTTATTTAATTCTGAAAACTGCTTTTGGAAGTCTTTGTATGTGAAAACTGAAGTTCTGTCCAGTCAGATGTTTACTTGTGCAAAAATAACCTCAAGAAGGGCTGGGCTTACGAGGTTCTGCCATGCTGGGCATCAGAAAATGCATCCTTTAAATAATCTGTGGCACCAGAACACAAACAGCCACTTCCCAGCACCAAATCATCCCATAAGTGTACATGAACAAGGCTGTACACCCCATTTCTACACCATGTTCCAGAGCCAGGCTCTGCTTGGGTCTCCCCTGGAGCCACCACCGAGTTTTTTCAGTGAAAGAGCCTCTGCATTTCCTTCTACCTTAGAAAAGGCCAAAAACAGCACCACAAAACCTAGCTCTGCAATTACAGAAACTTGTCTGTTAATCACAGCTTAATTGTTTCATACCTTTTGTTAACCTTCTGCTAAGTCCTGAACTACTAACTACTCAGATGGTGATAATTCTCATCATTGATGCATGAACCCTGGGGCAAAATCATTCAAACATCTTAACATTTGCACTCTCTTGTTTGAAAGCAACATCAAATATTCAGAACAGAAGCCCGAGTGGAAATGAAAGGCCTTGCTGGAATAGCAGATGTTCTAAGCAGAGCTCCTACTGCTGCAGGTGAAGGGCAGCTCCAGAGGTACAACCAGCACCACTCCCACCACTGGTACCTGGCTGAGCAGCATCTGCACATCTTCTACCCCAAAGCATCATAGAATCATAGAATATTTGAGTTGGAACGGGCTCATAAATATCATTGAGTTTAACCTCAATAGTGCAACTTTCATCCTCCATCGCCATCTCATCACAGCAGGGGGGAAAGGTGAACCCACACCAGCTGTAGCATTGGGTAGCACCCCAAATTACACCAAAGGATCTGCACTTGAATTGTACTGCCTGTAGGTATGGTCGGAGCAAGGTGCAGCTCTGGATGGGAGCTGAGGCACAGCAGGGAGCTGGTTCTCAGCCCAGCACAATGCCTCGTGTGTTTTCAGAGCAGAGGGAAGGAGAAATGGAGTAAAAAATTGGCCAAAGACATGAGTTTCTGTGGGAGGGAAGCACTGGAGTTCCTTAGTCCTCCTCAGAGTGTTGGAGGATCCCAGATCTACTGCATGCATCTCAGCAACATGGTTTTCCAAGGCACAGGCACCTTCAAGCCTAGGGCAGCATCCAGCCATTACTTCCCTCGTTGAGGACCAGCTGCATCCCAACGCTTGAGTTGAGCCATGGAGGAAAGCCAAGCTCTATCAGAACCAGAGGGATGGAACTGCCACACCAAAAGTCTTTTCTTTAGCACTTCACCCACTCTTGCAGGAAATATATTTTCAACTCCCCTTCTGCTCTTCCTTTCTCCAAAGCAATAGGCGGCAGCTTTTATTAAGAAAAAAAAATAATAATAATAATCTGCAGGGCATGTGTGGTCAATGGCTTCTTAATAACATTTTTAGCATTGTGTTCCCAAGGGCTCATGTAAATAAAAAATGAACAAAATAAAAAGAGAGGAAAAAGCACAGCAAAACAAATAGCTTGTGCACAGTCTGCTTGGAGTGCTTAATAATCCCCAAAGTAAAAGGCACTGCAGGGGAGAGGCAGGAGCCACGATCCCAATTATACCCTGTCTGTCCTCCTCATAAACCAGAGAGATGGGGCTGCTGCTGGAAGACACTGATCCTAACGCTGCTAAAGACCCATATTGCAGGAATATGGGATTTGATTTTGATATGAAATTGCAGGAATGCTCACAGGAATCAAACTCTGAGCTTGAACTGCTGAGGTTTTGCTAAAGGACAGTCTGGATCTTTCCAGACAGGCAAAATTTGCAGCTGCCCCTGAGCTTGAGCATTTAAACACACAGAGTGGGGCTGAGGTGCTTCCAAGCAAAAAGGGACAACACTCCGAGCTGGAGAAGGCCAGGACAGGTGGGATGATCACCAAATGCTTCCAGCCTGACCCCACAGTGCTCCCAGCTGGGGCAGGAGCACTGCTAGGGGATCTCTGAAAGGCAAAGGCATCACTGCCATTCTGCAGGAGACCCTGACATTGTCACCACTCCTTTGATTCATTGCATGGCTTCCACAGACAGCAGTGCACAGATGAAGTTCAATGCTGCTGATTTCTCCCCCATTGCTGTAAGAACTCAGCTCTCTGCACCTCACAGCATAGGGCTGCTCCTCGCCACCTCTTACACTGCAAATATCTCATGTTTAGCATCCCTTAGCCTGGACTCAACAAGATGAGAATAAGGAAGAATGATGAAAAAGAAAAAAAAAGCCTCTTTTTTTCTTTGAAAACAACTTCAAGCTTTCCTTGGAAAGGAATTATCTGTCATTTGTACCACACTCAGCAAACGCAGCATTGTGTTACACGGACCTTTTAGGAAAATTAAAGGGCTGTTACTGCTCCACTCTGCTGCAGGGGAAGCTGACACCGTCACTTACTAATAAGATTAAGGGATTTCAGAATTTCATTGCAACTCCCTCAGTACCTGGATGGTTCCCCAGCCTCACTCGCAGGTACCTGCCAGAGTTACTTCATGCAACTGAGAATGGGAGAATTAATTACCAAATTGAATGAAAGCCCAGAAAATCCACCGGGCACAGCCTCCTCAGCTGATGGTGACGCTCTGCAGCACAGCTCCCCATCCTGCTCCAATCCAGCTGTCCACGCTGTGCACTTCACCCACGCTTCACCTGCTTGTGCAAACAGGGACATCTTGCAGAGAAACAGATGCAGGCAGCCCTGCTGCACCTAC